TAAAGATTTAAAATTTGCACCTGATAAATGCCATCTATTATAAAAAAAAATAATAAATTCATAATTGGAAAAACGAGTAGTTTATAATTTACAGTATACAAAGGGCTTATAGATTAAACGTTGCGAAACGTGCAGCTAAAAAAGCGGCTATTAAATTTTTATGCGAAAATCTCCAAGAATAGTGTCAGTGTAGAAGTGGGCTTTATAATGACTCAATCGATAATTAGCCAATATATCGTGAAAAAAGAGAAAGAGGATAAGAGAAATTTCAGCTGCAAGTTATTACGATTATTGGCTATTATAATTTCAAAATTACAATCGTGCTAGTTTTTCTAAAGATTATAAAAGTATTATGATCAATTTAATTGTCCGTTGAATCATTATACCAAAGCGTCGAAGGATTACATCGTTCGTGCATTAGTATATTCAGAGGGTGATAGCTCATCATAATAACTCTATCAGAACACGATGTATGTACGTTAAGTCCATTTGTAGGTTTTGATTGCCATTAATTAGTAACTTGAATACGCAATTCGCATAGATGTGCAATGTTGCATATCGATAATTCTGAGTCCTTCTGATTGATGTCCTAGCTGTTACATAGTGCTCATTAGAAGTGATATCTCACGTAGGTATAATCTCTACATTTTTGAAGTATGTACTATAAATAATTATCTAAAAATATTAAGTATATGTAATTTATCTACAGTAATACTATGTTTACAAGATAATTTAGTCAAAATCTCGATAAAACGATGAAACACGTTCTAAAATAATAAAATTAATTAAAACTGATTATGTGAGATTTACGGTCGCGTTAAATTCATACAGCATATAATTCCCAATCATATTCCATTTTTAAACAAAACAAACAAAAAATTTAGATGATAAAGTTATTTGCCTTATTCTATATTCAATATACCCACGGAGACGATGAGGTGATACTGCTTTTATGAAAGCTTGCTCAACTGACAAGGAAAGGCAAACTAAACGTGCTAGAAAGTACGTATAAAAAAATACATATAAAAAGGGTTGTTTTCACTTAATATCTTTATGAAAAAATTACTTTGCAAACAGCTGTGAAATTTAAATAAAAAATTTTATTTTATTTTATGATAAGTTCTCTTCGTTATCTATTTTTCTTCATTAAGCGTTTTCTTCATCATTAATTAATTCAATAGAATAAAAAGCTGTCTAGTAAAATATTGTTGAAACAGTTTTGCATCTTGCAAGGTACAGCGTAACAAATTTCAAATTAAGTTAAATTTTAAAAATTAATTTTATATAAAAAATTTAATATAATAATTAATAAACAAATTTAATATTTATTTTTTTTATGTTATGCGTCAATAATGGTGTCTCTAATTTCTTTCTGCAACAAATATTAATAAAACCTTCTCGTACTGTAGTTTGCATTTTGTTTCAGAAAAGTGAGAGAGACATATTATACTTATAGCATATAAATTTATACATAAAAGATAATGCTTATTTTAAAACAATTAACAAGTCGTTAAGACTTTGAAGACTTTTTATCTTTAAATTTTGATTCTTCTATACGTGAACAAACTAAAATTTATAATATTCTTTATATCAATTTTTAAGAACTTGACAAAATTAAATGACGTATTTATGTAAAAAAAAAAAAAAAATGTGGCAAAGTAGTCTTTTTCACTTTGACCAAATACTTAGATAGTGTTCTCTATTCTTATCGGTATTCATGTTTGTCACTGCATCATTGATTCTTATGCAGAAATTGTAAGAATTTACTATCTATTGATATTTAATATCGGAATGCTTTGTTCAATATGTACATCGACGTATTATTTTCTGTATCGTAATATTTACTGTGAATATCTTAAGGATATGTGGCAATTAAGAAGATCTAATTTCATTGATCATTAGTAGTTTGATATTTTCTATTTGACACATCATAAATAAATAAACCACAGATAATACAAAAGTAATTAATAATTCTTTAACTTGTCCATATACAATTGTCTTGCTACAATGATTTCCTTGTTACAAATTTCTGCTCCAATTTAATAAAGATTTTTATTCAATACTCTATTCTGAGTCAGTATTTATAGCTGTTTATTAAATTCTTTTTAACCTTTTCCTTCTTATTGTAAATAAAGTTGACAAAGAAGATAGGATAGAGATCGTGCAAAGCGAATGTCTAACAATCTAGTGCGCAAATATGCTTCTACTTTTATTAAAACTGAAATGGCTTTATTAAATATAATACTACTATTTTATTTTCCAGAAATTTTATTCTATTTGACACTGCAAGATCTCGAAATTTTTATTATTTAATTATTGTTAAATGAGAAGAAGTAAAATTTACATTAAACATCAAGCTAACAAAAGGCTGTAAAGCGTGTAAAAAGCTATAAAGTGCATAATGCTAAAAAAACGATGCGTTGCATCATCCGTAAAAAGTGCATTAATGCATATACTATAGATACAGACAATGGCTTTCTCTTCACAATTACAATGCCATTTTGTATGCACACCATTATCTTCCACGAATTTAAAATATCGATTATTTTTTTTAGTTATAAAGTGCTCAATATCGCGTAATCTATATTTCATCCGCTAGCAGAATGTATTATGGAACACGTCTCGTTTATTTTTGTCAAAACGCGATCGTACATATGAATTATATGCCATGACTATTATATCTCATTCATTAAAATCTATGCTTATATAAGTAAAGAATTGATATCTCTGATATCAATTACATATATATTTAGCAAATAATGAAATTAAAAAATTATATAAAATAGAGAAAAAAACGTTTGCTTTTAAAAAAGCTGGAAAAGAGATTATGCGAAGGTATGCTTTTTACAATTGTTCAGTTACGGTGCGATATAAATGTTGCAGCTTTTAATTAAATTGATGGATATGAAAAATGATTGCCGCTGCAAATTCTGCTTTGCCACACTCATTGCAACGTTTCTCGTTTTAATTATATAAGCAGCTCGTTTTTTATTATATAAGCAGCAGTGATAATATTAATGTAGCTGCTTAAGAAATTTCCTACTGATAATTAGTCTAATTATATTTTATTTTTATCAGTACTTAGATTACTATCGTTTGTATTTTTTACGACGCCGCAAAATATTTGATCTCAAGTAAAGACTTTCCAATGTTAAAAAAAAAATTATTTATATAAAAACTACATATTGTTTTGATTATTTCATAATATTTATAATATAATTTTAAATATTAAGACTAAATTTTTCTTACAAATTTACAATAAATATTTAAAATTACTATTTATATATTTGTAAAAATTATGACACAGTAGTAATAACGTAGATTAGAAATATAATAATCCAGAGTTAATTTCGATCTTGTTATGCAGATTATTCTCTACCGTTTATGGAGGAATATTTTTATCTCTAACTCAATAAGTACAAGCAACTAAAGAAGATGAGATGAGATGAATCTCCTTACAAATTGCATTTTGCTTCTAATATTGGTTTTGATAGATACAAACAAAAAGCTTATGGTAGTTATCACATTAGCTAAAAACATGGTTTGTCAATCCTTTGAAGCTTTCTATTAATGTGAATATATTCATTAATAAAAAGCTTTAAAGACCTATATATAAAATTTAAATTAAAATAAAATATGCAAGATTGTTAAATAAGCTAAAATATATGCTTTGAAATATTTATCTTCTTTCATTAAATATTAATTTTATATTAAGTCTCATTAAATATGCCTTTGTAAAAGTTTTATGAATCACTACTTATAGCAAAAGCAACATGCATTTATTTCCACTTTCAAAATGTATATATATATATTAATATATTGTAAATATTATTATTACTATTTATTGATAATTTAATATTATAGCAAATACAAATAAAATTGCAAAATACAATTATATAAATTGTATCACTCAGTTTTATGTAATTATAAAGTAAAATAAACATAAAAATTTTAAATTCCATTATACAATATTACAATTACATTATTCATATTTTACAATAATAATAAAATTCAGTGCATAGCTTTAAAATTATTTAATTTCGACGATTAAAACAAAGAATATTGTATTGATTTTTTTTTGTTTGCATTAAAGAATTATATTTATTAGTAATTCCTCGTACTTAATTGTTTAGAATATGATTTACCTCATCTAACACGCACAGTAGAGAATGTAATAACCATCAATTGCATTCAATATTTTTGTTTTGATAGCGTGTCCATAAAAGATAATAGCGAAATAAGATAGAAAATAAAGATCGTATCACTCACCAACGCGCAGCAGCAGAGTTGCAGTGTTGATCTGTAAAATAAACATTAAAAAAAAATTATATTTAGGTTATAAACACTCATTAGATATAGAATAAAAAAATTAATTAATAAGATAGAAGTAAAGTATTTAGTTCAAGAATAATTATAAGAATTACAAGTTTAGCGGATATAAATATAATTGAAACCATTTCGTAAATAATAAATAATAGAAAAATAAATTACTTCACGATTAGCTCCGCTCTAATCCGACGCTGTCCCTCGGATCTCCTTCTCCTCTTGCTCCGCTGCAGATGTCCCTTCATGGCACTCACAATTACACTGTTAATTACTGCTTATTCAACAATCGCACAACACTTTCAACGCACTTTTTTTTATCACTTTACAACAAAAGAATAACGCACAAATACACAAACATTCTGTTCGACACTCATGGCGTTCTGCAACGACTACGGCGGATAATTCAAAGTAGCGCAGCCAACTTCATATGTACCTGCATAGCAGGTCATTTATCGAAGTTTGAAAAATATGGTTATGCACAATTTTATCTCTGAAGTAAATGCAGATAACAATATGCTAACAGAAATCACTAAGTTAGAGTTTACAAAAATTCCCTCTGATGATATCTGCTAAATAATTATTTAATTTTTCACGAGATGGCAGATGCATCGCGCGTATAACGTGGTGCCATCCAGTGCTCGCTTTAGCAAACTATATTATAAGCAGCTGTTCGAGTGAATGTGCGTGCTTTGCCCGTGTTTGGTGATATTGGCGAGTTTAGTCTAGAATCAGTTGAATCGCTTTTATATTTCAAGGATAATAATTTATGGCAGAAAATAATAACGTCAAGATGTCACAACAAATCGCCGGAAAGGTCCAAAGCCCAATGGATTTAGCGACTTTGAATATGCAACAATTGACAATGTTTAAGCAACATTTGGATCAAGAGCTTCAATTACTTCAGGATTCTTTGCACACTTTAAAAATTGCACAAAGCAGATTTCAGGAATCAGGTGTTTGTCTCGAAAAGATTACTCCGGCTGCCGAAGGTGAGTCATACAAATTTCACATTTCTTGAAATGTATCAGCTTCTAGTAGGATTTTAAGGTTAAAAATGTAATAGGTACTTCGGTAGTATAAATGTGAATATACTTTATAAAAATAAAAGAAATCATGATACTCCAGTTTTATTAAAAGTTGCAGCGATATACTCAGAATAATCTGACATAACGGGAAATAATTTTTCATTGATCAATATTTCTTTATTCCGTTATAATTTAACTTCTGCAAAAATTTGCTTATACTTGTAGCCATTTATTCTTTTATTGGCTATTATTATATTCTTATTTTAACTTATGAATATTATAAATTTTTATTGTAAATAATATTAATAAATATTGTAGCTTTTAAATGCAATAAGAATAATTTTAATTTTTTTGTATTTACAGGCAACGAAATATTAGTACCTTTGACTAGTTCTATGTACGTGACTGGGAAATTGGCAGATGCAAATAATGTGATTGTAGACATTGGCACTGGTTACTATGCAGAAAAGAGTATTGAAAATGCAAAGGACTATTTCAAAAGAAGAGTAGAATACGTTACCGAGCAAATGGAAAAGATCCAGCAGATCGGAATGGAAAAAAGCAGATTGAGAGAAGCAGCAGTAGATATAATAGA